TATTATTTATTCATATTTTAATTAGCTTTAATTTTCATACTTTATGCTTTCATTTTAATTTGAGTAATTTTTTGTGTTCTTTTGTATTTTTTTCTTAGTTTTTTTGTATTTCTATGTATCTTTAATTTATTTTTATTTCAGTTTTAGTTATCGTAAGTTTTTTTTTAATTCAGGGTTTTTCATGTAATATATTTTATTGTATTACAGAAAACAATATTTATAGTTGTAGTTAACAGCACTGGTTTGAATATGCTAGAAATGTTTTATTCATAATCAACACTGTGACTCATTTAAGCGGGAGAGGAGTTGTGTGGGGTGCTTTAGATTGTGGTGCCCAGAATAAATGTATCTAAATTTAGGTCCTCTAATGGAGGAAATGTCTTGAATTGTGTTTCATAAACCCACTCATGTTTAATATAAAGATATTTTGTGTATTTTAGTTTTTTTCTTAAGAACAAATTCTGTTAAATGTAATTTTCAAAATAACAAAACAAATTCTAAGACCTGAAACACACTGTTACAAATGTTCACTCTTTAAAGGTAGATGGCCACAGACAGCTGTCTCATGAAGGAAATGTACTCTTTGGAGTAATGTCTGTAGTTCAGAGGCTCACACATACCTGACTCAGTGCTGACAGGGCCAGTAAAGGTGAAGACTCGTCTGGAGAGGTGTGAGTAATGAAGCAGCTCGTGTCTGACATTGTGCCGAGAATGAAGGAGACCAGAGCAGACAAAATCTGACCCTTGCAACGGTTTCCAGAGATGATTTGAAGAGAATCTTTACATTTAACTACAGATCTGCTTACAAGAAGAACTTTGTGGTCTGTGGTAACTCAAATCAAACAGTAAATGAATCAAATGTTGGTTTGACAGTATCGGTAAGTGCTTTGGATGATCTTTAAATATATAATTAACACTAGAATTTATTCATTATATATTTTGACGATTTGTGCAGACACATAAGCTTTTTTAATGCATAACGTTAAGCCATAGTACACTATTTGAATCTATCATCTATCAAACCAGATTCTCAACCTCTGAATTCTGTATTTCCAGGAATAAATACCATATGGAAAGTACCCAAGAGCTTAAGATCATTGGACATTGGATAGGATTGGTATACAGCTTTAAGCAGTCATATTCTTCATTGTGGTGAGATTGTATCTGTTTCTGAGTGCGATATAAGAGGTCTTGAAATATTTAACATCCTGCAACCTTTGAGACTTTACAATAAATAATGTCTTTTTCATGGTTCTCCATCTTTAGGAAGGCGATGTTTAACCAAAATCAGATTGGTGTGGCTGAAAGAAAGTGTCAAAAATGGCCTTGTAATTTAATAGCGATTCAGTACAGACTAATAACTTGACATCCGACAAGAAAAAGCTCAGGGTAAGACCTTAAGGGAGAGTCTATTGAGCTGCTAGATAAATGGGAAGTGAATGCATTTATGCAGATGGTGGAAATAGTGCTGTCAGTAGAAGGCAGGGCACATGAATCACTTTTTTTTTTAAAACATTATGCACATGAATAAATACCTTGAAGCTCAATACAACTTATATTACTAACGTGGTTTTGCACATAGATTAGATTATTTTAAATTAATATTAATTAAATAGTGTATAATGATTCTATAATTGGGCAATCTAACTTCAGCAATACATTCTCTAGAGACTCTTGTCACATTGAACATCTATTTCCATCACAACCACTGGAAAAGAAAACAGGAACTAGCATGCACGGTTGAAAAGTCCTCATATGGTGATCAGATATAGAGTGCGTAATACTAGCATCCTTGTGGCGGTGAGATTGTGAATCTTTTTGCACTAATTAGACCACAAGCATATTTATTGCACACAACTGATGTTCAACACAGCATTTAGTATTGATCCATGTAACATGAAGTAGTGCAAATATAGAAAAAAACTGTTACAGCTCATGAATAAGATCAATTCATTGCAAACTGCAAGGGGAAAAAAACCCTGAGTGGTCATGCATTTGTTTAAGCAAACCATTTCATGAGCAATACATTCTATACTCATTATCTGATAGCATCATGCATGGTGTTCAGTTAATAAGTAATTGATAAGCTGGGGACTTATACGGAAATGCTGGGGACTTTACTTCTCTCTTAATGCTTCACAATGCAGCTCTTTTGTATTTTGACCCATGAGAAAATGAACATCTGAACTGAGAGGGTCAAACTTTAAATATTAATGTCATTGTCACTGCATTCTGTCCCTTGTGAAGCCTGTTTATACTCTCTTATGTGATAACAGGCTTATCACTCATCCCAGTGGGAGATGAGTCCTGACCGCAACATTAAACCATCTGACTATTGCACAAACACACTTATCATCCAACTGTCATCCAACTGGCTTTGAACTTCCTTTGCATTGTTTTCATCGAGCTGTCCACATTTCTTCTCATGAGTATGAGTCTAGGTAAATGAGGTGACACTGTATTGAACAAGAATCTTGCACATCTGTGGTGATTTAGTTTGGGTCACTGGTTAGTTTAAGGTTGTTTAACCCACCTGCTGTTGATCTAGCCAGTGATGCAGTCAGCATGATTTGAGCAGGTGAGACTAAATTACCAAATGAAATGGAATTGATTTAATTTACATTTATGCTTTTGGCAGACATCTTTTCCTCCCCAAGCCAACTTAAAATGCATTCAGGGTTTACATTTTATCTGTTCATGCATTCTCAGGTAATCAATATGACCTTGTTGTTGCTAGCGCCATGCTCTACTCCTTGTGGTACAGCCATGGCTTCTTTAGTTTGCTGTTGTTAAACAATTAAATGAGACTTGACTTTAAATGTATCAGGTACTAAACGAAAGCTTTTCATGTATTGATTAATGGAATTTGAACATAATTAATTGATTTTTTGCACTACTTCCTGTTCATTCGTTCCATGTAAATCATTTAGTCCTCACTAAGGATAATGGAGTAGCAGTTGTGTGAGTCAGTGGGCAGGTGTTGTCATCCCATTTAAAGCCTATGGGTGTCACCAGCTGTCTAGTAAAGTAAGATGGATGAGACCCAAAAGTGTTTACAACCACCAGCCTAAGAAAAAATATAAATAAATAAATTATGCACATTCAGTAACTGAAAAGATAGGAGCACAGAAAAGATAGGAGCACAGGATGGCAAACACTTTGAAAAAAAAATATGCAGGGCATCCATCTTTATTCAGAATTATGAGTGGTCAGTGACACTGATGGTGAACTTCATTACTGTTTAAGTTATCACAGACTGTCCTTCTATACTGGAAATCAGGTTTTGTCATTCATAATCTAATGAAGTGGAGTTTGGCCACTACAATTAATACATATTAGCATCCATAAATCACATTTTCACAAATATTGTCTTGATTATTGACTATGATTATTATGACGATTGTTACGATGACCTATAATTACACAGACAACTGAGAAAGGGTGGGACATATTCAGAACTGTATTTAAATGGTTTAAATGTCCAGCACATAGCCTTTGGCAGTCTTTCCTCCATGCTTATAAACCACCTGGAAAAATGTAAACTAGAAAGTAAAGATACATTAACTGTTTGGTTGTCTGTACCAATCGGAATTCATTAAGCTGGTAGCTTTGTGTTGGAACATGGAACATTTCTAGCTGGTCTAAGATAAACATTAACTGGACTTAGCTTGTCTTATATAAATAATCGAATTAAAGCATCTGCTAAATGAATAAATGTAGAGGTCTAACCAAGTCATTAGCTGTTCCAAGCTGGTTATGTATACTAGCTCAACTAGCTGTTTATACTAGCTTAAGATGGTCAAGTTGGAACATGATTGCTGGTCAACCAGCTAATAACTCACTTGTTAACTAACCAACTAATGACCAGCTTTGGCCATCTAAAAACTGCAGGAAACCAGCTACCATGTTCCTAATCATCTACAACAGGGATTGTCCTGGTGGAGCTGTCCACGGTGCTGAATGCTTGTCGGCTCACAATTCACTGATGAAATCACTAAGCCCTGATGAATATGCCACATACAGTTTTCCACATCGTTCACCTCTATTACTTCAAAACAAATGTATATGTCATATGGGACTGACTTCAGATGCATTTGGAGCTCAACCAGTGTTTGTTTTGGAAAATGAGGGACGCGTGGCAAAGGAGGGAGTGCGTTGTTTATGTGTGTGTGCGTTAGAGGGATGATGATGACGGCGTTTGGGGAGCTGTGGGACATAGCCTTTGGCAGTCTTTCCTCCATGCTTATAAACCACCTGGAAAAATGTAAACTAGAAAGTAAAGATACATTAACTGTTTGGTTGTCTGTACCAATCGGAATTCATTAAGCTGGTAGCTTTGTGTTGGAACATGGAACATTTCTAGCTGGTCTAAGATAAACATTAACTGGACTTAGCTTGTCTTATATAAATAATCGAATTAAAGCATCTGCTAAATGAATAAATGTAGAGGTCTAACCAAGTCATTAGCTGTTCCAAGCAGGTTATGTATACTAGCTCAACTAGCTGTTTATACTAGCTTAAGATGGTCAAGTTGGAACATGATTGCTGGTCAACCAGCTAATAACTCACTTGTTAACTAACCAACTAATGACCAGCTTTGGCCATCTAAAAACTGCTGAAAACCAGCTACCATGTTCCTAATCATCTACAACAGGGATTGTCCTGGTGGAGCTGTCCACGGTGCTGAATGCTTGTCGGCTCACAATTCACTGATGAAATCACTAAGCCCTGATGAATATGACACATACAGTTTTCCACATCGTTCGCCTCTATTACTTCAAAACAAATGTATATGTCGTATGGGACTGACTTCAGATGCATTTGGAGCTCAACCAGTGTTTGTTTTGGAAAATGAGGGACGCGTGGCAAAGGAGGGAGTGCGTTGTTTATGTGTGTGTGCGTTAGAGGGATGATGATGACGGCGTTTGGGGAGCTGTGGGGGTCTTTAAGAGCTTCTTTCTGCTGCTCACTGGTTTCAGGATAGAGAGGCACGAGCCACTGAAATACTCACGAGAACAGAGATACGCGCGAATCGTATTGGAAATACGTTAATTTTCATACACGTTTAGGATATACTGCCACCGGGAAACCTGGACAACATGCAGTTGTCAAAGTCACGGGCTTTTGCTGTCAGTTTGACGCTGCTCTCCGTACTCAGCTCGGCAATGTGCGCCAGTCACTGTAAGTACCTGCAGTGCTGTTCAATATTGTATTAAAAGTTGAGGTATGTTTTCTTTAGATGCGTTTTTATTTGACCAAGTGGTTTCATACATACGCTAAACAATCGGAGATCTTGAAATCAATTCAGTTATTGAAAGAGTGCAGGGGATTTAAAGACGACTCCTGCTAATGCAAACTTTTACTGGATCTGATGAACCCGTAACAATGCACAGTGCATGACTGGTGCATATCGCCTATCATGATTCGACTTCTCATAAGCATCTGCCGAAAGATAGTGGAGCAGGTGTGAGCGATTGAGCATTTCAAATTCGATCGCTGTATCACGGAAATTGAGGCTTAAAAAGCAGTCATTGAGGCTAATATCCTTTCTCGATTAGGTATCTAGAGGAGTCAGAGCGATGTTGTATCATTTTATTTCAACGTCTGGTAACTCATTCTTCTTCTGTTTTGTTTTGTTATTTTATTTTTTTGTGTGCGTCTCAAACTTTGGTATAATATTCGCATAAGTGTCTGCTGCAAAACAGCTTACAAATCTACTAGGCTACGTATCACTAAAGTGTCTAAATTAATATCAAGTACAGAGAGAGCTGTTGTTAAAATCTATGCATGGGGATCCCTGAATGGCTGTAACACTAATAAAGGAAGGAAGGAAATTAAGTGTGTTTGTTCATAATTATGTAATTCCCCACTACCAGCCTCATTTTATTGTAAAGATTTTATAGGAATCATTATAAATCACAAGATCAAGTAAAATTGTAAACAAATATAGAAATATGTAAAACTTAGAAAACTAATTCTAAATGCATAGGTATGTGATAGTCACAAATGTTCATATACTGTCCCATTTTGTTACAATCTTCTCCATCTGTTCAGACATATTTCTAGTTATTTGAATGCATATGTCAGATCTGTATATAAGAGAACCTGCTGATTGAAATGACACCATTCCTCTCATTTAACGTTCATTATTCAATGGCATGATCTTGAATTAAAATATATACCTGGTGAGAAATTATTCTTTCTTACCTCACAATTGTTTTGAAGAGATTGGTGGTATTATGATCTGTAGCTCATATCTAATTGGTTAAACTGATGGTGTTGTCTGCTCTCTTGTCTCCTCTGTGCTATGTTAATGTTGTATTTATAGTTATGTGTGCCAAAAAGTCTGATTTACACTTTTAATTTCCATTGTCATTCCAACACACTTCATTATATTTTCATTACTGCTATTGATTGCCATTTCTCTGTATGAAGCTTGTGCGTCTAAAGCATTCTCACTCTTTGTCGGTGCCTCCTCAGCTATGATTGTGTGAATCAGGGAAGCATAGTACATTTTCTGTATTATTAAGATAAGAAACATGCAATGGGACATATCTGTAGGTTTCACTAGACATCTGTCATTTTCATGTGTTACGAGTTAGTTTGCATCGTTACATGATATAAAACAAAAATGGCCTCATGGTTGTGCTCTGCATGAGATGTGGTTTGTGGATGGGTTTGTGGAGTGAATCCTCACTGAGGACATGCAAAAGGATATTTTCATATTTACCAAAGGGGTACCAGAATAAAGCTGGAGATCCATTATGCCCTTGTCATCTGTGTCAGGTAACAGAGATAATGGTTGCTTCTGTCCCTCTCTCAGGAGCCTCTGGCTCTGCTCTCAAAGAGGGATAACAAGGGGATATCCTTTCAGATCTGGTGTCCCTGGAAGAACAACTACATCCCTTTTACTGTGACCACTGGGACTGTGTAGGGTCCCAACATGACACAAGATGAAAGCCTTGTTTCACCTGGCTTGGGCAAACAGTGAGTCAGGGCCCAGGGGCTCAGTGTTTTCTGACATCGTCTGTGGACATGATTGTATTAAAAATGTCCAGCACTTTTTACTCTAAAAATAAATCAAAGTAGAGATGCAGAATGATTGATTCAAGTCATAGAGAATTGTTGATTTACACAGTCTATAAGTCATGTTTCTGAATACACAAGAGACTTGCATGCATGTTTTAGATACCTCAGCATCTCTAGGACACACTGTGCTGAATTTCACACCAGCTGGCCAGTTAGTGAGAAGAATAGTCAAATAACCCCTTCAAGGACACTAGGACAGTAAAACCAGACATTGACATTGCAGCACTGGTTGCTATGTATTTGTTTTTACTCTCTTAACAATTATATATATATATATATATATATGTTACTTATTAAATCTGTAATGTTTCATTAAAGTCTTGATGAAATAAAAGTACCGACAGATCTATTCTTCCATATTTTGATAATCAAGGGAAACAGATGATTGAAAGAAAAAATATAAGCTGGTTACTTGGTTCTATCCATCGGGTGTTGATTGGATGGAAGCAGCTCTGAATGCTTGTTTGTGGTTGATTGTAAGAAAGGGGTGGAGTTTAAGGAGATCCAGTGACTGGAGAAGTCTTGCATACATCACCATAAAGAAGAAATGTTACTGTGATGCCCTGTCCGGCAGGAGCGAAGAGACAAAACATTAAAACCCATTATAAACGAGGCATTTGTTGCATCCAGTGGGGACATAATTACGGATTATAATGACTTATACTGTCTTTTTACGCGTTGCATCACGCCACGTAAACATAAAACCATGTATGCATTTGTGATCGGAGAAATGGCAAACAAGCGTTACTCTATACAGCTCAAAACTCGCTTTTGAATGGTCAATGGCAAATTCTTTATATATAAAAAACGTACTTACAGTCTGTGAGTCAGAACAGCCGGCATTGTAGTCTACTCTACCAGGCTTTAAGAGTGTATGCTGTTGTTTTTGTTAGACCAAGACTGAATATAGACTGAATCATACTGCGTTGTCAGTCAGTCCATCTATAATAGCCTGAAGCTAAAAGTTCTTTCTAGATTTCTGTCTTTGAAGTTTAACTTCAAGTTTGAAGTGCAAAATGTGTGCATTGACCCAAACAGGACACCGATATTTATTCAGTTTGAATGCATGTCAGAGTGCTGTTGTGGTACAGGAGGACTGATTTAACATTCTAAATACAACTCCCCTCTCAGTGGGGGAGAGTGGAGTCTTGTCGGGCATTAGCATGATAGAGTCATTTATTTCAACTTTCTTATGAGGTCAAACACGGGAGGCTTTTTAAGGGAGCTCTCCCGTGGAGCTGACCAGATTTCCTGTAGGCATTGAGGGGGAGGGAATCTTTGAGGATTTTTTTTTCTGTTTCCAGTATAATAGTTTGGCACTAGAGTTACAGTAGATGAGACATGACCGATTCATATTTTCTTTCAAATATTAATGCACAACCAACTTGCTTCTGTTTTAATGTATATAAAAAATGAATAATTTGCACTGAAACACCTTGGAAAGTGATAAAAGGGAAGATGGAGAGAATGTCATTAAGACTATAGTGCGCAATATAAATCACCTTGAAAGGCTAGAGGCAGTGAAGAGCATTGACAGTGTTGTCCATATTGTTAACTTGACTTCATCTCCATGCTGATTTATGCTGTGTGGGCATCAGAGCATGAAAATATTGATTAATCAAGACTTTATTCAGCCTAAATCACTGCACCCCCTGCTTCACATCTGCAGAGGGAGATACACAAAACAGAATGAAACCGATTTTGCTGAATTTCTGATGCTGACAAACTAGGTATGACAATGTTTTTTTTTGTACTGCAGGTTAGTGGATAGTCAGCAGATTCTGTAGATATTCTGTTTACAATCTTATGAAGACACATTTTCATTAACCTGTGTTTGTCCTGAAATGCTGACATTGACACACGTGTGCTCTGTCTGCAATTATTGTCTGATGATCATAGACAATAACAGCAGCCTTATTGGTTCTCCTTTGCCTAAATCATAGAGTAGATTATTGTAGACCACCTTATTCTTGTAGATCATGCATCTATTATCTATCACTGATCTGAGATGAGCTGTATGCGGAGGAGCTATGTCCTCTTAGGTGGCTTCTGGCCATTCAGCCAGTTATATAAGAGTAGTTGTAAAACATATGCTGTCTCATTTGCTTATTTGTTATGATTAGATGAACAACATTTTTGGATCATGAATCTTTTTAATCAGTGTGTTTTTTTGTTTTGTTTTTTGGTACAAAAATGAATTGCTTTTGCAGGTATTACAATTCAGTTGCAGTTACTAGCACACATATGGCTCTACTTTTGTTCTTTGTGTAATAATCCATCATGCTGTTCCTCTTCCTCTTCTTCCCTCAGTGTAAACACACATAAATATATAACAGATAGTTTCTCGGGAGTTAGAGCAGAGCCTGTTTTCTCATTCTTTTTAAAATATGGCTCATGAGAGACAAAATGATTTATTTAGTTTTCTCTCAAATGTTTACAGCATTAGTGTGTGTAATATTTCTTCAAGGAAAGGTAAACAATATGTTTAAAGAAATTTAAATCCATGCCAGGAAAGAAAAAGTAGGTCAAATGTTATTTTATATTTTTATTCTTCTGTTTGGTTCTCTAGATTTAATTATTAACTGAGGCCATGTAATGTAAAATCGTACTTAAATGTAAAGTCAAAATAGATGATAGAAACACTTTTAGAGTGATGCTGTAAAAATGGTCTTAATTGTCAGTTTGAGATGAGCACAAACAAGGAACTAGAACACTACTGTGTCCTCTCATTACTTGTTTGCTTTCATCTGATATCTTTTGATGACAGAATCTGGAAAATGATCAGTCCTAAATGAATGAGGCTTTTGCACACAGGCTTTACTTGAGCTATTGGCAGGATGACACTGTTGCTGGTCTAATTTCATTTATTTGAAAATAATTTATGAGAAATGCACATTAAATGGTGGTTTGCATTTCTTTACATCTTGGATTCTCTATTCTTTCATCCATTATTTGTCTCTAGTGAGCTCTCAGTATTAATTATGTATCTCAAATCTTCATGCAGTCGCCACTAAATGTTCTTATTATATCAGCCATGATAATGCATACAATCAACCTTTCTTCATGTGCATTCAATATTCCTCTCCAATTAA